GCAGGGTGGAAAACGCAGGATGGTGCTGGGGCACCTGCAGAGCTCAGGGATGGCACACCTGAGGCTGTGGGTGCTGGGACACCAACACCATTTCCTGTTTCCCTTCACTGAGCACAAAAAAACCTTTCCCTTTAAAGCACAAAAAAAACCCCAAAGAGTTGCTGATAAGGGTGTGCACCCGCTCCACTTCCTCAAACATTTCATTCTTTGAGCAGAAAACGAGTCCTTTCCAGCTGGAAAATAAATCATTATCTGCTTCCTTTGGTAATTCATGACACACTGTGTGTTTTTAATCTACTCCAGTGTTGATATGTGTAGACTCTTCCTGACACAACTGCACTCAAGATTAATTTTTGTTTTTAGAACTCCCAGCCGTGCCCATTAGAAAATGATCGTGCTTTTATTTTTGAGAAACAAATTTTATATAGAAACTCAGAAAGAAGAAAATGCAAATACTGGAAAGGAGTTAAAAGGAGAAAAAATAAGTAATGTTGTTTCCAATCAACTCCCACCATTTCAAAAGGCTATCAGGTTCCAGGACACGGGAAAATCTGGTTTTGTGATGCCTCAAACAACAACACTGAAAACTCTGGAAGCTCACTGAACACAAACCAAGAATATTCTTTGAAACGGACTTTGYAAGCAAACACAGAGGAATTTGAGAGCAAACACTTTGTAACCACTTGCAGAAATAAAAACAAACACGTTCTACTCACATCTTCAGTGTCCTTAACCCGTAAAATCTGTTCCCGCAGGTCCTGGAGGTCGTTGAAGGTGGACTGTGCTGTTATAGAATATACTAGTGCAAACCCCTGCCCGTTCTTCATGTACAGATCCCTCATGGCTGTGAATTGCTCCTGCAATCAAACAGGTTTTAAAGTAATTAGCTGGTGAATGAAGATAATGAATAGCTACAAAGGAATACTTTCATTGTACTGGAGACARGAATACAGTGCCACGCAGCATGGATTTACATATTTACCCCTCACAGAAACCCATCGAAGCATGGAAATTGAATAAAAGCATTAACACTCCTTCCCTTTGTGGGTTTGTTTTTTTTTTTTTTTTAATAGAGAAATGGGCTTCTTGAAAAAATGGGAAGAAGATGAGGAGCAGCAATRAAAACATCTGAGCAGAGAGATAGAAATGGCAGAGCAGGCTGGACAATCCCAGCCCAGAGCTGCCTCAGTTTCCCCAGGGAAAGGAATTTTACCAAATTTCTGCTTCTGCTGTCGGGAATTTTCAACAATAAACCCAACTTCCAGGGATCCCCACCTGCCAACCCCCAGAGGGTTTGTCTGGCCAGGGCCAGGGCTCTGCCAGCTGCAGGTGACACTGGCACTGCCAGGGAGTCACCCCAGCTGCTGAGGGACAGCCAGGRCAGTGCCAGGGGAGGGTTCCTTGGCTCTGCAAGGCTGCTGTGACACTGCAGGGCACCTTGTGCCCGCCTCTGGCTGCCTTCTGGGTCCCTGAATTCCAGCCACTGGGGAAATGAATGTTTAAAACCCTCCTGGAGCAGAATGCTGACGTGGGGATGGCACAGGAAAGGTGAGTGGCACAGGGAAGGTGAATGGCACAGG